AGGCATAGCAGAGCAGGTGATTGTCATTGAAACTTGGCCGCAGCTGCTGCTGCTTCTGACACTGGAGAATGTGCACTTTAGCATCATGTCCCACTCTCTGATGCTAAACAGCCCTTTTCAGTCTTTTAATAGATTCTTGAGGGAGGAGGAAGTGGAGGCCAAGGTTAGCTTTGTTCGCTTGTGCGCCTGCCTCAGTCAGATTGGCATCTGGCACCAAGCCTACTGTTTAGTCAGATGGTATTGTTTTCTGTTATACACACACACACACAGAGCAGGAGCTCAAGCCATATGTCTCTGTGTCTTCAAGTTACATTGCACTGACCAAAATCATATTTACCACACACTGAGGTATACATTCAAAATACATGTTCTTTGGCATCTGCAACCATGTCAAGTGAGGCTCTGTTTTTTCAACATGGCAGTGGGGTGGGAGCAATAGAAAAAACTCCCTCCAACTGATTTCTACTCTCTTTAGTGAAAAGAATGCGTAGAATGTGGTGAGAGGATCAGTTCAACCAATGATCACACAGAGAGAATTTTGAATCTTCCAAGGAAAGCCTCAGTGGACAATGAATGTGATTAGAACTTTCCAAATCTTTCCCTCCCAGACCCCTAAAGATGGCTAGAATCGTTCCCTCCCAGACCCCTAAAGATGGCTAGAATTCATTCAGAATTCATGTGAAACCCTGCCTTCTTATCCCACCCGGATGTGGTTTTCTTCCATGTGAAAGCTTCTTAGAACCCCTTAAGACCTGCCTTCCCTTTCTAGAGTAAGTTTAGAAACTTCAGAACTATGAAAATAGAAGTCAGTAAACTATGCCCCCATGTACCAAATCCAGCCGGCTTCCGGTTTTTGTAAACAAAGTTTTACTGAAACAAAGAAATGCCTTTTTTTTTTTTAAACCAATTGTCCATGGCTGTTTTCATACTACAATGGCAATGTTGAGTATTGCCAGAGGAGACCATTCTGCCCACAAAGCCCAAAATGTTTACTATCTGGCCCTGTACTAAAAACATGTATAAGACCCTGGGAAATAGAATCCCATGTCCTGAAGGACTGATTGAATTAAACCTTATGACCAAGAAATAACAGGTCAAAAATATGTTTATATTCAGTTCATACCAGGTTTATACCAGGTGAGCTGTGAAGCTAGGGGCCAAATGTGCCACCTCATTTAATTCTAATTCAAATATTACAAAGTCAAAGAAGTTCTCTCCAAAAAGTAGGCCTGCCCTTGATTAGTCTCTTCAACACAAAGCATGGAGTAGCGCAGGGCTGTAGTTTCTCTGTGAGTCATCCTCTTTGTTGAAGCTGACATTGCTCCCCATACTTGTCACCCCACACCTGATAGCCAGGCACTAAGATGGCCATAACATTGGCATAGCCAATAGTGCCTGGGGATGTTAATGACACACAGCTAATTAAATGTCCTAGAAAGGAAAACAATAACAAGCTTTCTCAAGCTCTGGGTCATATACTCATCGCCAGCATGTGACTACTATTATCCCTTTTGTCTTAGAAGAAAACTCATGCAGAGGCTGACTAGGCATAAAAGGCAGATTTTATATATGTATAGTATTTAACAACTCTATAAGTTCCAAAATTGCCTGAATAATTCAATCCACAGGAAACGGACCATTCCAAAGAACTCCCATCCATGACTTACTAAAGTTAATGATGTTGGTTTCCGGAGAGATTGTATCTGCTGATATTATATGCATAATAATATATTTGGTGAAGTTAGTTACCCTAAGAAAATCTGCTCTGGATATTTTTTTTTAGAGCTGTCTGCTTTGTGGTGACTGGAGTGAGAGCCAAGAGACTGGAAATCATGTGACTCAGGGAAGATCACTCAACCTCTCGGTTTCAACTGGACTCTGGAAATGAGGAGTTTAGACAAATAACAAGAAAATCACCCTCCTAGCTTACAAAGCACTTTTCGAAATGTTGTCCTATGATTTTTAGATGAGCTGTCTATGTCCAGCATATCTAAATGCCATTGAACATGCTGAAACCAGCTTGGTAATTCTTCAATAGTCTGGAAACAGCAGATCAAAGTGTGCAGCAGTTCGAGTGTCCCCTCCAAAACTCATGTTGAAATTTAATTGTCATTGTGGTGGCATTATGAGGCAGGATCTTTAAGAGGTGATTATGTCATGAGAGCCTCAACTTTATGAAAGCATTAGTGCCCTTATCATGAGAGTGGATTAGTTATCAGAGGTGTGGGCTCAGGATAAAAGAATGAATTTGGTTTGATTTCCTCTCTGTTTTGTGTGCTCGCCATGTGATGCCTTCTGTCACGTTATGACACAGGAAGAAGACCCTCACCAGATGTAACCCATCAGTCTGGGACTTCCCAAGCTCTAGAACCATGAGACGAATATCTCTGTTTTGTTTTTTTTTTTCTTTTTCTTGTAAATTCCCCTCTCTGTGGCATTCTGTTTTAGCAGCACAAACAAACTAATACAAGGTGTGATTCTCATTTTCCACCATGCCCTTCTTTACAACAAAGACATTGCTCAAAAAATAGAGTATTTTAAGGGTTTGAATTTTTTTTTTCCAGCACTTACCTATGCCCACTTCTTACCTAGTCCTCATCAGATACTCTTTCTAGGTAACTGGTCTCAGTTAGTTGTGTCATAGGCCTAAGATTAGAACAAAGCCAAGAAATCCTAGCAGATAACATGAAAAAATGCAAGCCTGTGTACACCATCACTCAATTAAAGCCTGATCTTTAGAACTAGAAAACACCCAGTGAAACATTGTGGTATTCGTGTGTCTTGGTTGCATTCCTCTCTTTCCACTAGTGATGCTCAGTTAAGTTTATGTGAAGTGTTTTGCCAAACTGAGGTCCTCTCTTTCCCAGGCATCTGTGCTAATCCTGGTGGAGTCCTCATGGTGAAAACCTCAGACTCTGGTCTTCATTTTCAGAATTCTTATGCAGAAGAAATTTCTGTGTTTCTGACTGTGTGTGCACAAGAGCACAGTTTTGTGGATTACAGTGTGTATTTTGGGGGCAAGTTTTTGCAGTGTATGAGTTTGTACCATGTTACAGTAGTGGATGGAATGTGGAAGGGTTAGGACACATTTTCTTGGGGCCTTTCCAAGTTGCCAAATGTTTCCTATAAAGCTTAAGTATACTGTCAGACTTGGATTTCCTCTTCTGACATTCTCAGCTGGTGGCATTTGTAGCTCTGGGAGTGCACCTGAGCTATTGGAACTGAATGGTTGGCATAAAGATCTTCGGGGACAATGGGTAAAGAAAAATGTCATATCTGTCTACCCAGTGGTAAGAGTTTGGTGTAAAAAGAAAACAAAATCAACTTCCAACTCAGTTTCTTGCCCAGTAACATTCTGCTAGTCAATCAAGTCATCCAATCCCAAATGCTTAGGAATTTTAATGTGATTCTGGTGGTTTGGAAATTAAGTACATAGGCCAAACATCAGAAGGCTTGGTGAGATGCTCAGTACTAGGTAAAAACAAGAATCAGGCCAGGCACAGTGGCTCACGCCTGTAATCCCAGCACTTTGAGAGCCTGAGGCGGGTGGATCACGAGGTCAGGAGATCGAGATCATTCTGCCCAACATGGTGAAACCTTGTCTCTACTAGAAGTACAAAAATTAGCTGGGTGTGGTGGTGTGTGCCTGTAATCCCAGCTACGTGGGAGGCTGAGGCAGGAGAATCACTTGAACCAGGGAGTCAAAGGTTGCAGTGAGCCAAGATCCTGCCACTGCACTCCAGCCCGGTGACAGGATGATACTCCATCTCAAAAACACAAACAAACAAAAATAACAATTAAACTAGAAAAATATTAATTGTTACAGCATCTCTTCCTGATGGGTTATTTTATCTTATATACCCTGAAAAAGAAAAAAGAAGTTGCACTTGAATAAGAAAATGAAATAAACTGAAGTGCACATTTGTCTGACAAACATCTATTTTTAGAAAATTTTTGAGGTCTTAAAAAAAGATGTAAGTAGCATGGAAAGATTTTTCATGAACAATATTTAAGTTGACATAATTATATTGGTTTGGTAGACTTTTATTTTAGGGTAATGGTTTCCTAACTTGTTAGGACCCAAGCAACACTCATCTGCTTCAATCAAAGTAGCTACAAGTTCATTTCTGAGAATCCCTATGGCTTCTCTAGCTGATATAATGGAATGAAAACGGAGCTAAATCATAGAGAAAACAGTGTGACAGACACTGCTAAATTTCTACCTAATTCTGCCTCCTCCCGCTATTCTACCCCAATTTTTCCTTACTTGCAGAACCCCAACTTCGCTCTAATACTGGGAGCTGCCATGAGGTCAAGCATGGAGATCACCTTTGGCCCAAAAGTGAACGTCTATTGATTTGTATCAATCAGAGTAGTCTTAATTGCTGGCCAGTCATTGTCTCAGGCATGGACGTGTGCTCCAACTCTGAGCTATGTAGAACTAAGATCTCCTGGGAGCATCTGGAGAAGACTTTTCTAAACAGAGAAAAGCCATGCAAAGCAAAGTCTGTTTTCTCTGCTGGATTTCTGAACTAGGGTGAGCCACATCATTTGCAAACTCAAGTGAAAATTTAAAATGTGAAGATCCTTATTCAAGAAGCAGGATCAAACTGTTTCCTTTTTTTAATGATCTCCCCTTCTTGACTTGTCATGGTGGTTTTTATTTGTGCTTTGAGTTTGGGGCAGCCCCACAGGTACCTAGAGCCTCATCCTACAACTCAGCATGCACAGCACACATTAATCTGACCCCGATCCCCTGCACATATACTCCAACCCCTGCTGGAGGCAGAGGTGGGCAGCAGCTGTTGGGCAGTGGCTGGGGGCAGGTGGCCTAGAACGTTTTCTAGCAAGGAGGTCAGGCAGGACTGCCCATGAGTTGAAGGCTCTGAGTGCCTGGTACATGCTTCTTTGTTCCATCATACTTCACTAACAAAGCACAAATTCAAAGTGGAATTACTAAGAATTTCAATACAGTGACCACAAAGCATTAGCACCCTAGTAGGACCTGCTGAACTTGAGGTCCTATGGAGAACACTGATGGCCCACCCCTGAAGGTGGCCCTGGTCTTCATGCATGCATCAGCCTCAGCCATCTCAAGATCACAACGAGAACATAGCCAAGTTAGAGAAGAATGACCAAAAGCATTGGGGTGCTTCGTATTATTAAGCTGCTAAATTAACTAATCTTGGGAATTTCTATACTCAACAATTCTTGTTGTATGGGGTAATAAACTCCTTGTTTTATGGGCCATTTTGGGGGGTTCTTTTGTTAATTACAACTGAAAGCATTATAACTGATAGGAAAGACTGCATATTGGTGAACAAGGTCTACAAAGGGACTAGCAGGAGATGGGAAATGTACAGGAGCTTTTCTCTAATGTCCAAATCCACGTCAACTGCCCTAGAGTATGCTGTTCCTGCTTTTCCCTAGCCACTCTGCTGGGCACGTGAGGTCCCCTATATTCTTTGGACCCAGAGACAGAAAATATCTTCATTTACACTCTGCCGCCTCGCATTCCTCCACTCTTAGACAGAGGCTAAACACAACATCCATGTTGATTGTTCAGTAGGTAAGAATTGAGATGACAGAAGAAGGTCACTGTGAGCTTCAGGGATAGCTTGGAGCTGACCTATGAAACAGGTGAGGTTTGTTTGGGACTCTCCTACCTCCCTCATAATATATTCTTCCGTTCTTCAGAAATCATCCACTACGTAAATATATTGGTTTCATATTTGGCCATTCCTGCTTAAGGAGCTAACAGATATACTATCTTACAGAAATGATTGGCTGTCCAGTACCTCAATTTCCTTCAAATGTTTGAGATTTCATGATTCTTTATTGCTTAATTCTTGTCCCTCTTACCTAGAAATTGGGACAGTGGACTTTTGGGGACCTTGAGAAATTCTAAATTTATAAAACTCTGCTCAAATTTATGGTACTAAAAGAAGACTAATAACATCCTCTGGAAAAAAAATAGCTTCAGAGAAAAGTCATATGAAAGGAGCATTGAAGGATGTGGGTTTGATCACATATGTATAGGGAAACTTTGGTTCTAGAAAACTGATAGGTGTGCAGACATGAAGCTCTGTCCCTCTGGTTGAGGGAATTGAATATGATCCTTAGAAGCACATTTATGCCAATTTTAAATATGGTTAGGCACTAAGCAAGCTTCTCAGACACATCTAGATATTAGCACAGGGGTCTATAAATTATGATTCTTTATTCCTATAGGTTGTACTAGGTTGAAAAGTATCCCCACAAAATTTATGTCATCCCAGAATCTCAGAATGTGATATTATTTAGAAATAAGTGTAATTAATTAACATAAAGTCATACTGGATTGAGTTGGACCTTAAATCCAATGGCTGGTGCCCTTACGGGAAGACAGATGAAGACACACAGAAAGGAAAGTTACTTAAAGGTGGAGGCAGAGATTGAGTTCTGTTGCCAGAAGCCAAGGAGCACCAAAAGCCACCAGAAGCTGGAAGAGGCAAGAAAGGACCTTCCCTTGAAGTTTCAGAGAGAACGTGGCTCTTCCAACCTCTTCATTATGGACTTCTAGCCTCTAGAACTATGAGAGAATAAGTTGCTGCTATTTTAAGCCACTCAGTTTGTGGTAATTTGTTACAGTGGTCCTGGGAATGATACACAGGTAAAAAATAGAAGTAGATCCCTCATAGAGCACATTGACCATCATAGACTAAGAAGACTTGAGAGCTGGCCACTGACTGGGCCCTCAATCTCACAAGGGGACATGGAGGAAGTATTTCTTCAACACAAACTCTGTTCACTGTTGTGTATCAGAAGCTGTGTTTACCTTTCCATCTCACATGAGCCCACAAGGTAAGAAATATTGAATTGGATGCCGTCTCAAAGGTCAGCATGCCCATCTGTTTGTGTGCAAACACACTCCTCTGGGTTTCTCTCACTCCTGCCTTTTCATCAAAAACCCAAAGTCTGATCACAAGGTATTCCTGTTTGAACTGGTGAGTTTTTCTCAGTGGCATCAGACAAAAAGGCTAAAAGCTGCCGGAAGCTTCCTCCATAGTAGATTAGCAGCACATGGGTGAACCAAGCTCATACATTATTCAGAAAGGAAAAATGTGGGCTTTGACGGAGCTTTGAAGGAATCAGCAGCTATTCCAGAGGAGAGTGCCCTATTGTTCTGCCTCACAGAACACAAAGAGCAAGTGGCATTCCTTACAGCATAGCTAATGGAGTGCATACAGACACTGTGATGAACTGACCAGTGGACATCTTTCATGAGCTCTGAAATCCTATTCAAAATGACCGATTGCTGATCAGAAGAAAGATGTTCACACTTTTTTTTCTAAATTTATGTAGGGTTATAACTCAGTGCTACCCAGAGCAGGAGCTTTTTGGAAGATAAAATGGTGCCATCTGTGGAACACATATTTATCAACAGTACCAAAGTCCCCTTGGAAGGGTTACCGGGAAGATTAGGTTGACCTTTCGATCACTGTCTGGCAGGTTTTTCCTCAAAACATGGGAAGCCTTTCCTGTGTCATGAAGCAAGATTAGAAATGATTGTGTAATTCAACTTTTTAAAAAATAAAATCTACACTGGCCAGGCGAGGTGGCTCACGCCTATAATCCCAGCACTCTGGGAGGCAGAGGTGGGTGGATCATGAGGTTAAGAGATGGAGACCATCCTGGCCAACATGGTGAAGCCCCGTCTCTACTAAAAATACAAAAAATTAGCCGGGCGTGGTGGTGCATGCCTGTAGTCCCAGCTACTCCAGAGGCTGAGGCAGGAGAATTGCTTGATACTGGAAAACAGAAGTTGCAGTGAGCAGGGATCGAGCCACTGCACTCCAGCCTGGCAATAGAGCGAGAATCCGTCTCAAATAATAATAATAATAATAATAATAATAATAAGATAAATAAAATCTACACTATGTGTGTTTCTTTGATATAAGAAAAAAGATTTTCCAAAAAAGAAGAAGGAAACCCTGACCAAAATGTTCAAGCAAAGGCTAATAGGATCTTAAGCCCAGAGCATTTGCAAGAATTCTGAATTAATTCCTGGTGAAGTATCTATTTAAAAAAATTTTAAAAAGGCAAAAGGCTGCTATTATAGTCCTCCTAAAGTCCTACTTTATCATCAATATATCTGAGTACATCTTGAAGTCATGATTAACTACTTTTAAAGTTCACCTGTGTATGCTTATAAATCCTGTTCACAGAGGCCCAAAACATTTTTCTAGTATTCACTTACTTGAAATTTTTTCTAGGTAAAAATACAGACAAAAAATAAGCTTATAAAAATAATCAATCCCAGCGACAGAGGAGACAAAGAAAAAAAAGTGTTGGAAAGTAGAGAAGATAAATGGACCTGAATAACAAATGAAATTTTCTCCCCGGTCCCAGTACTTTTCTCCCAGATGAAAGATGCTGGATGCTGGCATTGCTGCCACTTCTGATATAGCGCCAAGGATATCAATGCAGGAGGAGACCTCTTAAACAGGGAATTTATCAAGAATGGCCTACCACATTCATCTCTTGGCCCTCTGCCATTTTTGATGTCCAAGCCAGCTAAATCAAGACATGATTGTGTTTTTAACTAGCATTCAACCTTTAGGTTTCACAGTGGAATTACTTCCCCAAATCTGCCATGTGCTGTTTTCTACAGTGGGTTTACATTTAGTCTCTGGACTTTTTGGTAACCAAGAACTTCTGGCAACTAACCCTGGCATGGCCACCAGAATCTGCAGGGTTGAGAGAGGGAAAGAAAGGCAAAAGTGGATGAATGTAGCTGAAGGTAACAATTATAGAACTGTTATTTGATATAGGGCAATGTTATCCAATTATAACTTGAGATGCATCAGAGGCTTGGCCAATACAATATCAAAATAAGACTGTATTTTTTTTCGGTTTTGGATACTTGTATCATACCCTATTTGAATGGGGAATTAAATCAATTTAAATTATTGGAGAAAATACCAATAACCAATAAAAGAAAGCAAGCAATAACATTGAAAATTGCTCTTTGAGAATTTGTAAAACTTGGTTCTCTGAATATAATTCTTAAGTACTTAAATTAGAAAGATACTATCATACAGACGGAACAATTAGTATTAAAAAGACATCTAAAAATCCTATTATTTAAAAGTTAATAACCTTGTTATTAATCCAACTGCCCAGATATTAATAAAAACAAGAAATGTTTAGTTCAGCCAATCTCAGTAACTCAATAAACTATCCTGGGATCAAACTGGTTACTTAGTGACCAGCAGTACTTATAGACTAAAGTAGATTATATTTCAATTTAATACACCATTTTATAAAAACATAGTCAGAAACATAGAGAACTCTACTTATAAATACAGTTCCTACCCAATAAGATTCTTTTTAAAATCCTGTTATAATAAATTTGCTGAACACAAGTTTTGTTAAACTTCATGTTGCTTCTCTTCCTTCAGGCAATTTATTCAGCAATTAATTATATTCAGCCTTCATAGTTATCTTTGCTTCAGGGTTATTTCTACAACTGGATTATGGACATCTAAAATCATATCCTCTCACACTGAAAGGACTCTTTACAGGTCACCTATCTAATGCTTGCCCTCTACTCCCCACCCACCCAATGAAGGGAATAATTTATATTTGGCTTTAACGAGAGTCTAAAATAATTATCATCTTATTGAAGAAAAAGCATCTCAATATTATTGAATAAATAAATAATGTTTGAACTATTCAAAATATCCAGTGGCTTCTCCAACATTGCACAGCTGGAGTGCACACCTTACCACTGTGAGTCACACCACTCTTCTCTAGCTAGGTAAGCTGAGCAGAAACAGGCTGCCTTGTTGTTTAGTGGGAGGACACCCATCACTGCCAGGTAATACAGGTCTTCTCTGTAAAACAGTGCCTAGAATACAAAGGGCAATCAAATAGTCCAGCTATATGGAGGCTGAATAGGAAATTTCCCCAGCTATTGCACTGAATCACTTGACTAGAATTCATTCTGGAAAAAAATATCAGATCTGTTGAGACTTTTTTAAAAAAAAATAGCTAATTAAGATGGTAAACAATATACCTGAAATAGTCTTATATTTTGAGTTTCCTGTAGTATAAAATTTCTACTTACAATGCAACTATTTTCCAAATATCTTTCTATAGTATTTAAACATATGTATTATTAAGGTTACTGAATAGATAATTTCTGTTCAGTAATTAAATTTTAAATATCTGGGAAGACCAACATAAAATAAATACCAATACATGAATTAAGCATATATTTATTTACCCACTATGTTACCATTGTGGAATTCAACAAACACCAAACAGAAAGTATTATCTTGGGCTGGGCGCGGTGGCTCATGCCTGTAATCCCAGCACTTTGAGAGGCTAAGGCGGGCAGATCACGAGGTCAAGTGTTAGAGACCAGCCTGGCCACCATGGTGAAACCCTGTCTTTACTAAAAATACAAAAATTAGCCACGTGTGGTGGTGTGCTGCCTGTAATCCCAGCTACTGAGGAAGCTGAGGCAGGAGAATCACTTGAACTTGGGAAGTGGAAGTTGCTGTGAGCCGAGATTGCGCCACTGCATTCCAGCCTAGGCAAAAAAAAAAAAAACTTTCTCAAAAAAAAAAAAAAAAAAAAAAAAAAAAAACCAAGTATTTTATGTTGTTTATATTTTGCTTGGCAAGTACTCCTAAATATATAGATTAAATTGATCTTTCATTATTACACCTGCTTGTTTATAAGGAAAGGAAAGTGATTTGTTAGTGGAAAAAATAATTATGTTGATAGTCCAAATTTTGATTTTTTTCCAAATTTTGATTTTTAAAAACTGCCATTATTTTGTAATTTTTCTAGTGTTCAGATTTTAAAAGCACAATTCAATTCATATAGTACTTAAACAAAAACAAAATTTTTAATAAACATATTTAATAATACCTATAATGCTTAAACTTATTAATTTGATAATTTCAGAAATTTTGTACTATTGAGGGAAGCTACATGAGTCATTCCAAGTCACCAGATTTGTCTTAATAAAATTCTTTAGCATTTTTATGCATAAAAATTATTTGCAATTCAATAATTCATCCTTTCACTCATTTCATAGATGTTATGTAACTCCTATCACATTCCAAGTGCTATGTTGATATCTGGAGGTATAGACAAGATTGAAGCAGATGCAGAGTCTTACACATGAATATTTGAATTAGGAAATATGTTCCCCAAATTAGCAAAGCATCTCGCAGACTCTTTCCTTGATGATATATTTGAAATCCTAATGCTGCAAGTTAAATTATCAGGGATTTAAAACTAGAAGAAGTCATTATCACAATTTTATATACTATTTAATTTTAAGCACAAAATTTGACTGTTTAAGTCTTATTATAATTTTAAGCAAAGTACTTTGGGTAGTCATAAAAAAAGTAACGGGCAGGTATTTAGTATTTATGTTGTGTGGATTCATATCCATACTCTACCACTCAGTATCTCTGGGATTTTTGATGAATGATCAAACTCTCTGAGCCTCAGTTTTCCAAAATGTAAAGCGGAAATGATATTGGAATGTAGTGATAATTAAACAATGTACTAGCTGTAGGTGCTTAGAACAGTTCCTGGAATATTAAAAATTTAAAGAGACATTTTATTTTTAATAGTTTGGTTAATGGAATGGCTTCAAAAATACAGTAAAATTAAGATATTCAAACAAGCAGGATGTGGGTGATGAGTATTGGCGTCAGCATTAGAGACCAAAGGTTAAGTCTCAATGCTGCTGCAAAAGGGTTCAGGTAACAGTCAGTAAACAGTGCTTCTTCTTCTTTTTTTTTTTTTTTTTTTTATTATGAAGTTATAGTGCATGGCTTCCTCTCAGTTGACCATTCTTGGCCACAAGAACTTGCCTCAAAAAAAAAAAAAAAAAAAAAAAGAATGAATTTTTACCATGTGAGAAGTAAATGAATTGAACTAAATGGTTTCTAATGCCCTGTCAACCTCTAAAATTCTGTGAAACTTGATTTGATTCCAATGGGCCATAGCAGGACTTGGCACTATTTTCATCAGTGAACCATATGGTTAGAAATTTATTTTTCCAAATGATATTAGTAAATATTTAAGGAGTCTCCTACCTCAGAGCTTCTTGTACAAGTTGAAACAAGACAGTAGAAGGTTTTCAGGTTGGTGAAGTAAACTTTGGCTTTTAGGCAACCATTCCAAAAACTATTTTCTTTAGAATCCAAGGGCTTGAAATTGTTCTGAATAAAGGATATAGATGCTTTTATGATTTATTAAATAAAAAGAGTACTAAATATATAATTTTAAAAATGTGTCAAAGTGCTTTTGTATTTATTATTTCATTTTTTTACCTTGATAATTTTTCAAAAGAAATCTACACTGGAAACCTGATATCCTAGGCTTTGTATCCATTATATGATTTACCTGTAAGGAGCAGATTACATGTCTTTGAGTCAACTCACTTATATGATGCCTCTCTCTTGTGAGCATTTAAATTTCTTTTTCAAAAAGTTCCTTGGGAAAAGTTAGTCCTCAAATAGTCAAGTCATAGTTATAAAAAGAAAAATGAATTACATACCCAAACACAATCTTGAGATTTAACAGCCTTTGTAAGCAGCAATTTTATTTCCATACATAGAGTTTTAATCACTGGTACATCCTACTCAAAACTATACATTGGGGATTAAATATTATTTGAAGCATTACCATGACATTTGCAAAAGCAAACATACTGGACTAAAAAGAAATATACTTGTGAGAAGAAAAAAATGTTCAGCTATCTTACATTGCCTTGAGATTTTATTAAAGATCCTTACAATATTGTGACACATTGAGGACATGTCTAAAAACTTCAAAATGTTAGGAAGTTTCAATTTAATAGTTTGACTCTGTCTGGACGGAACATCATTGCCTGGTGAATCAAACAAATAATTGTGCAGGTATCCATCATGAGGATGAATAGAAATGTTTAACAACCAAAATAATTGGTCAATTCAGTCACTGTATACTATCAGTCTAATATTTCTCAATTTTTTTTAAATAAAGCACTGGCAAAATTAAATTTAATTGTTTTGCCAACAGATACATATGGAACATCTGCTGTGTGCTTTTTACCTGTGGAATATTTCTTAGGTTAAGATATAGCATCTCTCTGTGGTGTTTTTCGGGGTTTTTTTGTTTTGTTTTGTTTTGATTTGTTTTGTTTTTTTAAGACAGAGTCTCCCTCTGTTGCCCAGGCTGGAGTGCAGTGACGCAATCTCAGCTCACTGCAACCTCAGCCTCCTGGGTTCAAGCAATTCTCCTGCCTCAATCTCCTGAGTAGCTGGGACTACAGGCATGTGCCACCATGCCAGGCTGGTTGTTTTGTATTTTTAGTAGCAACAGAGGTTTCACCATATTGGCCAGGCTGGTCTCAAACTCCTGAACTCAAGATCTGCCTGCCTCAGCCTCCCAGAGTGTTGGGATTACAGGTATGGGCCACTGAGACTGGCCAGTGGTTTTTAATACAGCAGGAGGGGTCACATGTAAACACATAAACCAATTCCTCCAGCTTTATTCCTATCACCTTAGTCCAAAGCACCATCATCTCCTCCCTAGATTTATGCATGTCCTGTTTCTTCATTTCCCCTTTTATGATATTTTTTCTACACAGAAGTCAGTGATCATCCATTACATTTAAAATAAAACCCAAACAGTTTAGCATAAGAGGAGGAGAAGGGGGAGGAGGAAAAGAAATCATGCTATTTTCCCTATTCCATAATTTTCAAATTTCTCCCCAGTCTGACCCTGTCTCTCTTACACGTCTCCTGCCACTTTTCACCTTGTCCAGGCTGCAGTCTATGTTTTTCTACCATAATTAAGGCCAACAGGAGTAGGTGTCCTTATCTGTCTTGCTCTTCGTATCTGCATTGTTTAGACAAATGTCAGGCATGTAGGAAGCATATAATAAATATTTGTTTAAAATAGTAAAGAATAAAAGAGCATTATGTCCTTTCTATATATCGGTAGGCTAAATTTGCAAATGGTTTACAGACATTAAAGAACAGAACAATCTTTTATAAAATAGTAATACATAACAAGTACAAAAATAAATTAATTTTTTAAAATAAGTGGGACAGGAGGCATAAGGTAGACCTCATCGGAGGTTAAGACTTGAAATAGATTTAAAACAATAATCTGAATTTTAATAGGTGAACAAGAGAGATGAAGTAAAGCATTCTAGCACAGGACACACCCAAATGTGAGCCAGGAGTGGGAGTAGCTGTGTGAATATGGTTGGAAGGGGACATTAAGGCCAAACTGATAAACTCAAGCATTCAGATTAAGGAAGACTGGAAACTAAGTGTGGGTAAGAAAAAGATCTTGGCAGATCAGCAGAGGAGATTATAATTGATTAAGTAGGAAAGCAAAATGGATAAAATATTTTTGAGGAGATTACCATCATGACAAAAGTGATGTTTTAGGAAGATTCATCCTCCAGCCCATGGAAGGTGGAATAAAGGAGGTAAATAACTTTAGTCTGGAATAGCTGCTGGCCAATATCAATCTTTGGGAATAAGGTGACAAGGTGAGAGCCATAGTATAAAGTGACAAAGATAGTGGGAGAAAGGGGACCAAATGATAGAGGCCAAAAACAAACGATGGTGTGAATTTGGGTATGCAAGAAGGGAGAGAGTGAGTCAAAGCTAATAAGACATAATGTGCACTAGAAAACGCCCTTTTCAGCAGGAGACTGGAGGCACAGGAAGCCACATTGCTAAAGGTCAATCTTCTACACCTCAAACGTAAAGTTTACCCGTGTGCCTTAATTTTCTGTATCTTTCTCAGTATTAGAACAAATTTAAAATATGTCATTCTAGAATCCTATTGTTAGAATGTGGCTCTTTCAAAGTCTCTCAATGAGTTATACATCTATATTTATTGCTTTCTTATTAATCAATCAATCAAGTGTTTCAATAGAATGTATAGACTGTGTGTGATGAACATCCATTAAGGTGTCTTTCAAACACCTCTTCTGTGCCTACTCCATTCACAGAAGTAGATCTGGTGGGGAATACCCCATTGGACACTGACATGGGCACCTGGTTTAAGCTGGTCCAATTAGAACCTGGCCTTGAGAATTTTAACCCAGCAGACAATAGGGAAAAAGGACAGATGCCTGTTCCTTACAGAACTCTACAGAAAAAAATCCGTGAGTTTGGAGTAGTTTTGTCTTCATCCTTTCAAGTGCTTCATTGTTCAAGTCTTTTTTCATTCCTTTTGTCCTTTTTTATCATCTTCTGGTTTCTATTGTATACAACTCAAAGAAATTTAATTAGTACCTAACATAATATACTTACAAAACTTGTATCAAAGGCAGATGCAGATATTTCTAGTGGAACTGGGAAATGAGAGCAGAACAAATGCAACTGCAGAGCTTGGAAAGAAAGCTTGCACATTAATGAAACCCTTTGCAAAACTTATCTAAAAGAGGCAAGCAACATTTGACACAAAACACAGGATTAGGCTTCTGTTTGTCTTTGTCTTCTCAGGAGACTGATATTTTTGGTAGGAGGTTTTCCTATATTTTCCCAATTTACCATTTCCTTCGTCAAAGAAAAAAAACATTTAAATTTGGAGGATATATGAACATATGAACTTTGGTTTCATTTTAAAAAGATAGAAGGGCATAAAATCTGAATTGCCAAAAATAAAATGTAAGTTAAGACATAACAGTTTAAATAGTGATGCCAGCTTCCCCTGGTAACTAGGATTCTAACAGCACAAATGCTTAGCAGGGTTAAGACACCCATTCTCTTATGGATGGAGAGAATATGAAAATAGCAGAGCCTGTTTTTGTAAGTGGCACTCAAGGATGTTTCTACTCACCCAGTATAATCCTTCAGTTCATGAACTAAAATACTTTTTTATTATGGTCAATTGGTTTTGTGTTCACGTTACTTTGGAATATCTTATGAGATGCTTACAGAAGTAGGCCTAAGAAAAACTGGGCCTAAATTGATTGATTTTAAAATAAGAATCAACAGGGTGGTAGGTGTTGGTATAGTCTTTGATTTATTCAAAATATTTCTTATGCTGCCAGGTATCATGCTAACAAAGTAAATTCATAGACTATTTGCTTGTTTGTTTGTTTTAAGGATTTGGTTCCTGCTTGCATAAATCTTGCTCTGATAGAAAGGCAAACATTGGGCAAAAAATCGTATAATAACATGATTATGAGCTGTGACAAGTAAACTGAAAGAAGAAACTGACAGAAATATAATTTAGTTAGGAAAGCCTCTCTGAGGATGTCTAGATGAGTGTGAAAGAATGACTGCATCTCAGCCAAGAAATGAGGAGAAATGGGATGGGTTTGGAGTCAGGGAAAGGGCATTCTGGAAAAAGTGAAAAACTTGTACGAAGGTTTTATGGCAGGAAAGAACTCAGTACTCTTAA